CTGTAGATGCAGGCGCAGGGCCCCTGCGGCGCATCGCGGGCGACCGTTCGCCGCTGCCGCCGCTGGCGGGCGAACGCCCTCGACCGCGCCCGCGGCGGCCACCCCGCGAAGGATAGCGGGGCCGTCGCGGTCGCCACCTGCGGCCCCCCGGACTTCGCGCGACCCCCCCCGCCCCCCGCGCCCCGGGGGCGACGTTCCCCGGCGCGGCCAGCGCGCGACCCCCGGACTTCGCGAGCCCTGCCGCCCCCTGTTTGGGGAGTATTTGATGCCCCCCACGCGTCCTGGGGAGGGCGCCCCGTTGCGGCGACCCCGGCTGCACGTCCGACTGGGGCCCCCCTGGGGAGTCTCGGCGCCAGGATTGACGCGGCCGAATCGGCAGCCGTTGCCGCTCTTGCAGCGCAAGTGAAACTGCATTTGCCAACACATGGATGCTTGCGTCGATCTCGTCGCGGGCAGGCACCGTGCCTCGCGAAGTCGAAGCGCAAATTCCGATCGCCTCTGTCCTGGGGTGGCGGCTTGGAGCCTCGTCCTGTGGAGAGCTGTCTTTCGCGGGCACCCCGGCCAGCAGTCGATTTTCGTCGCGGAGGTCGCGGTGTTGAACGGTTGCCAGGGTCTACGCGCAGCAGATCGCACCGTTCTCCGCGCATGCAACGCCCCGACTTGCACGCAGCGCGGACGGCTGGCTCGTAACGAGACGGTTCGGTATTGAGGTTGCGCCCGTTGCGTTCGAGTCGGTGCAACTCGATGATGGCCAGAACGCGCCCTCGCAACCAGTCGCGGGCGCAGTTGGGGCCATTCGATTTCATATTGTTGTAGCCGCGCAAGTCCTGCATCGTCGACGGATGTCTGCGGATCTGTGCTAGGGGCAACGACTCAAGTATTATAATATGCGGTGGGTCGCGTCACTCCGAGAGTAAATTGTCGAAATCCCCGACAGACCGGTGGACATCTTCGCCCCGCATGCGAGTAAGCTGTAGAAGTTCGAAGTCATGCACCGTGCCGTCGCCGTCAGTGGCCTTGCGTGCAGCATCGTCCAAGAGATCTGTCTACCCTTCAACATGCGGCCGGCTCTGTGCTCTTGAGCTTCGAGGTTCTTAACTCGGCAGCGGAGTCCAGCATTGAGAACAGCCAAGAGTCGCGCAGCAAGTTTACAATAGATGCTTTCGGAATCGCCACTGTCTTGTAAGTCCTCAAATTTACTGCAAGGTTGTTCGGCAACACGCAAGAATGCGCATGCCTTGGCAGGGCGTCCGGAGGCGCTGCCAACATTTTCCCTGGATATTTGCTGCCACTCCTTTTACTGACTGATGCGTGGCAGTTGAGGAATGCGCACAGTGTCTGATTCCTTGATTGGGGCGGTACCACCGAGAGAACTGTGACAGGTTCTACGATGGAATCGGTGGAGTTGGCGATGGCGCGCGCGCGGGAGAGACGCGACGCGTCTGAGCTGCGGCCGCTGCAGAGGCAGCGCCTGGTGACTGTCTTCGCGGCGGTCCGGCGCGGATGCTTCCATCGGCGAGGGTTGAGGCGCAATCTGCGGTAGGTTTGGGGGCGGGGTTGGGACGTGGATCTGGGCGTCGCTCACATGGGCCTCCATGGCGGCTTCAGTTGTTGCGAAGCTGGTCTGCATCTTCCCAACGCCCTGTCGTAGACCACGTATCTGGTCGCTGGTGTCATAAGTTCGCTGGGGGCGCCGGTCCAGCCGATGCCCTAAGTCCTGGGTTCGTCGGTTGCGTGCTTCGCGCTCTCGTTCCAAGCGGGCGAGCGCATCCTCAAACCCGTGCCGTTTTCAGCATCTCTTTCGCGGGAGATCTGGGTGAGTCGAAACTGCGCGTGGTCCGCCGCCTTCCATGCCTCGGCCATTCGGTATTCGGGGATGGCGTCATCGCAAACCGAAGTCGGGGTGCCCAGCTGATCAGTCTGGGCCCGCACAACACGTAGCTCAGCCAGCGCAGCCTGCATTGCAGGCAACTGCTGCTCGACCATGGAGACTTGGTTCTCAAGCGTTGACACACGCCCACCCGAAGCGTCAAGACGTTGAGCGGTAGCCATCTCAGCGCGACACAGCTTCCCGTGCAACTCGGACGCGCTTGCGGCATGTCGGAGGTTGGGGGGTGAGATCGAAGTGGAACGGAGAGCCCCCCTACCGGGAAATCGATTTCGGTTTCGTGTTCGTGCGCGCCGCGCGGGCGAGGCGAAGCTGCGCGGGCGGGCGAGAGGAAAGTCTCCTGTGGCTGAGGCGCGGCCGGACCAAATGATTCTCCGCCGGGCGGCCGGTGGCGCGCGGTGCCCCGCCGGTGCCCCGCTGGTGTCCCGTGTGGCTGAGGCGCGGCCGGACCAAATGATTCCCTTCCGGGCGGCCGGTGTCCCGCGGTGTCCCGCCGGTGTCCCGCGGTGTCCCGCGGTGCCCCGCGGTGCCCCGCGGTGCCCCGCGGTGCCCCGCTGGTGTCCCGCGGTGTCCCGCGAGGATGATGGTGATGATGATGATGATGATGAGATGATGATGATGATGATGATGGCGATGGTGATATGATGATGATGGTGACCCGATGAAGATGATGATGATGTTGATGATGGCGTTGATGATGATAGTGTCCCGATGGTGAGGATGATAATGCTCATGATGATTATGTTGATGATGATGACGATGATGGTGTCCCGATGATGATGATGAGTCCGATGATGTTGGTGATAATGATGTTGATGGAAATGGTGTCCCGGCGATAATGATGTTGATGATGATGACGCTGTTGATGATTATGGTTCCCCGATGATGATGCTGATGATGATGGTGATGATTACGATGGTGATGTTGATGGTGTCCCGATGGTGTGAATAATGCTAATGACGATGTTGATGATGCTGTTGCTCATGATGATGATGGTGCCCCAATGATGCTGTTGATGATGATGATGATGTCGATGATGATGATGCGATGATCATGATGATGATGGTGTCCCGAGGAAGGTGACGATGTTGATGATAATGTTGATGATGAGAACGATGGTGATCATGATGGTGTCCCGAGTATGATGATGATTCTGATGATGCTGCTGAAGATGATGACGGTGACTGTGTCCCGATGATAATGATGATGGTGATGTTGATGATGAGATGATGATGGTGATGATGATGATGTCCCGATGATGATGCTGATTCTGATGATGATGTTTATGATGATGATGATGACGGTGCCCGCATGATGATGACGATGTTGGTGATGATGTTGATGTTGATGATGTTGATGATGATGATGACGTTGATTGTGAGAGCGATTGTGATATCGCTAGTGAGATCGACATTGAGACCGAATGCAAGGTCGATTGTGTGATCGATTGTGATATCGATTGCGAGATCAATTGTGAGATCGATCGAATGAGATAGATCGAGTGATATCGATTGTGAGATCGATCGGGTGAGATCGATCGAGCGAGACCGATAGTGATCTCGATACTGACATCGATAGTGAGACCGATCGAGTGAGACGTTGGTTCCCCCCCCCCGAACCTCCTTATCACCCAAAGGGTGGTCGTATAGGTAGGGAGTGTAGGTTGGCAGTGGTCACTTCGACATGAGGACGAAGCGCAACCAGGTCGTCGCGGAGATGTTGATCCGTAAGCCCATGTACCTCCGTAGCCAGAACCTGCCGCCCTGTCAGGATCTCATCGTGTAGTGTCCTGACGGCAGCAGCGCCCGTGCCCCTGACACTCACGAGTTGGGCCTCCACTGCGATGGTGGTAGCCGTGAAGCGTCTGAATTGCAATGGAGCCGGAACCTCGGTGTGACTCCACAAGGTCGACGTGACACGGGACGTGAGTGAAAATCGATCGACCCTCGGTGATCCGAGCGTCGACGAAGGCAAGGGCGTTGTTGAGCTCTTGCCTTAGCGTTGCTGTCTGTGCTGCAAAACCCGACAGCTGCTGGGTCGTGCGAGTTTTAACCTGGTCTCCAAGCTCTAGCTGAAGGCAGTTTTTGCTGTGCGATTTCGCACCGCAGCTGCCGTGAGCGCCTCCGGGAGGGGCAGCGGCTGTCGTCCCGATTTCGAGACTGGAGACGATACGTGCCGCCCGGGGGCTCTTCGCTGTGAGGTCCGTCCAGTGCGATCTTCTATGACTCGCACATGTACTGACGTAGGGACTATGGTGGGGCCCATGAGACGCCGTGCGTCCCAGCGGCAGTGTCGCGCGGAAGCGCTCTGAAGAGACGCGTCAATGGCGCCACCACGGCGGGCGCGTCCTCCGGCAAAGGTTGGCGGAGGACGAGGCGAGGCGAGGCGAGTCCAGCGGTGTCTTCGAAGGCAACCGCGCGTGTTTCCACCGGCGAGGGTTCAGAACTAAAGGTGGCGACAGGAGACGTCATGGTCGACTGGGCGCTGTGTCCAAACCCTGGCGTGTGAGTTGGCGCCGGCACGGGAGGCGGGGAGGAGTCCATGACTGCTTCGAGTTCCACCTCAAGTCAAATATCGGCGCTGCCTTCGCCTGGTAGGAAGGGATTGCGGTATCATGCTCGGTCCCATTGCCTTTTCTGGGGTGTCGTAACCCCCACGCTCCGTCGAAGACCCAGCACGCATACAGGCACTGGCCCCCGTGGGGTCAAGCGCCATGCGGCTGAGTCCAACACGATGCGGTGCGTCATAACGGGGAACGAAATATAATAGGCGGATACCTTGTGCATGTAGGTTAACGACTCGACCAAAGACTCAAACCTACTGAGGTGTCCATAGATAGAGGAAGGTTCGGGAGAAGGTCGCGATCCTTTTTTCCCATGCGCCGCGGGCAAGCGGCGCGGTACCAATTCCCAATACCTGAGCCGAGACGATCGCAAAATAAATGGATAGAAAGGTGAAATGAACGGACTTCACACACGCACACACACACACACACGCAAGGTGGATGTGGATGCGCTCGTCGCGCGTAACCATCCTCCTCCCTCAGTCGCCCCCCTTCCATCCTCCCAGCAGGCTCCTCCCTCCCTCGGCCCCCCCCACCCCCAGCCAGAGCCTCGATGGCCTGCAGGACCCCCTGGTACCGCAGTTGCTGCACGACGGAGGGGCGGTGGAAGACGCCCGCCCGGCCTTGGAGCGACACACGTCAAGGAGGATCACGGAGGGCAGGAGGTGGGGGTGGAAGAGTGCAGAGGAGGGAGGGTGGGATCGAGCATCTGAGATTCGAGGGTCGGGACTCGAGCATCGAGGTTCGAGGATCGAGATCAGAGGATCGAGATCCGAGGGTCGACGACCGAGGTCCGAGGATAACTTAGAGGTTCGAGGGAGGGTGGGCAGGAGGGCAGAGGGAGGATGGCATATGCGTGCAACTATCGGACGATGTTTAAGGCGAGAGTGCGCGGCGCTGGGGCCGGAGAGAGGGACACGCCATGTTGAAACACCGGCCTCCATCAGCGCGGTAGGTGATAGCATTTCAAGCGAATGCAATTGGCGCCAATGCGCGAGCCACCTTTTGAAAAGCACCCACTCGCCGGCTTAAGAAGTGCTGCCAGCCTGTGGTTCGAGCATGTGTGGCGCCAAGGCGAGGCCCACACACTTTGACACAGGACACACGAAACAACAAAACATTGGTGATGCAGTCTCTGGTCAAACGCCCTGCCCGCCTTACGCTAACACGTTTCTGGACGTGAAGGAGCCACTTATCAGACAGGGGACTGGAGGAGGATAATGAGTTCGGAGGAGAAGTGAAAAGGGAAGAGGAGAGACGAGGAGGAGGACAAGGAACATGAAGAGGATATCAAGAGAGAACCGCTTCTCACTCCATGACGAAGACGACCGACCCCCTTCTGGACCTGCACTGGAGCATGTTCTAGCCAGAAGTTCGAAGCGGATCCGGCCGTGGCCACGAGAGCGCCCCCAGAGGCCCAGAGGGGCCCAACAAACCGTACATCTCAACCCCCGCTATCGAGGATGAGGAGGACGACGAAGACGACGACGGCATCTGGAGACCTGTCTCTGGGGATACCTGAAGTGCTTGGGAGGTCTCGGTAGGCCTGACCGATAGCGAAGAGCGCCAACAAATCTCCGTCGCTGAATTTCTAATTGCCCTCGGATCTCGATTTTCGCGCCTCGGTCCTCGAATCTCGAACATCGATCCTGAAACCTCGGAGCCTCAAGTATCGGACCCTCGGATCGTCGAACTGCGATCCCCTAGCATCGGACCATCGATCCTTGAACATCGAACCTCGATGTTCGAACCTGCTTATTCAATCCTCGAACCCCGATGCTCGAAGCTCGGATCCTCGAACCTCGATCTGCAGATGCTCGCTCCTCGGATCGTTGCTACTCACAGGCCCGATCATCCTTTTCCTGCCCTCCTCCTCCATCTCCTCCTGTCGTTCCTCCTGCCCCTACGCCGCCCCATCCCCCTCTCTTCCGCCCTATCCCCCCTTCCCCTCCTCCTCCCTGGAGATCGGGAGGGAGGGTCGGAGGAGGAAGCGGCGCCTTCCCCTCCTCCTCCTCCTCCTCATTGTCCTCCTCCTCCTCCTCCTCCTCCTCCTCTTCCTCCTCCTCCTCCCCCCCCTCCCCTTCCTCCTCCTCCTCCTCCCCCTACCCCTCCCCCTCCCTCCTCCTCCTCCTCCTCCTCCTCCGCCTCCTCTTCCTCCTTTTTCCTTTCTCCATTCCTGTGTCCGTTTGCATTACTCTTCCCAGGCGTGTCAGTAGGGCGGGCAAGGCGTTTCGCTTGACGCTTCCTCCCCGTTGATAATCCCTGGGCTTGCTCCAGCAGTAACACGGATGGATGGGGTGGTGGTTTTCAAATGTAGCTCTCGCTTCAGCGCTGCGCACCTTCCAACAGTTACACCGATGGAGGTCGCCTGGAACACTACAAGCAACTACACGGATGGAGGGGTGGCTTACAACATGTGGCTCTCGTCTGAGCGCCGCCCACATTCGTCTTACCACTTCCGACCTCTGTACGTATGAAACACATGTCGATATCAACATGTGGCTCTCGCGTCAGCTCCTTTTCGACATGTCGCTTCGACGCCGCGTACACTCGTCTTTGCAACTTCCATCACATACACGGATGAAGGGCGACTTGTTTGCAACATGTAACTCTTGGCGCGCCGACCAACCTCGCTTCAATATGCGATAACCATTTCACGGATGGACGGGGGGGGGCCTTCAGCTCTCAAGCTGGAGCCGCATAGAATACTCGAAAACACTTCCAACAATTGCACGGGTGGAGGGCGTCTGCACTTCAAACTCGGGGCTCCCGCTTGGGACTTCCCTGCGCTTCATGGCCAAACGCTCAGAATCTGGAGGCGTGCACGGAATGCACGTGGCCGTTTCTCAAAGCGGGGCTCTCGCTGGACTCGTCCTCGGGCGTATTCGATCCCACCTCGTCACCGCCACTGTAGCTGGAAGCACGGACGACAACTCCTTCTCTGAATGCTGGCTCAAGCCTGCGTTGCAGGAGCAGGAGGCGCTCGTCTTGCAAAGGGGACTTCCCACAGTGGAAGAGCTCTTGTAGTGGCTGATGAGGAGGTTGCACCGGGCGGGTGGGCGCGGTGCCGCCTCGTTGATGCATCTTGGGCCTGCTCAGGTCCTCCCTCATCCTCCTTCTCCTCCTCCTCCTGCTCCTCGTCTCCCTCCGTCCCTCCTTCCATACCCCGAGGCTGGGCGCCGGGCTCTCTGGGTTCGGCTTGATGCAGCGCACAAAGTGGGGCTCCGTGGTCCTGCCGGGGGAGGCGGAGATCGACGTTATCGCCGACAGGGGAGGGGCGGGGAACCGGAAAAGGAAAAGGAAAACGATGAGAACGACGACGACGACGACGACGACGAGGAAGAGGAAGAGGGAGAGGAGGAGGAGGACGACGACGACGCGGAGATGGAGGAGGAGCAGAAGGACCAGTGTAAGTCCAAGACGCTTCAACGATGTTGCAATAAACCCTCCCCCCACATTCCCTCCTCATGGGCCCCTACAAGAAGCACTGTCATTGCAGGAAGTGGCCCATTCGAAGGCAACCGTTTGAGAACCCCCAACCGTACCAGAACACGATCCTGGGACTTCAATGCCGCAAATCGACGTGGCCGTTGCATCCTGACAACCCTTCACCGTGCCAGAACACCGCTCCTGGTACTTCAGCACAACGAATGAAGGTCCATGCTCAATAATGTTATGTCCTGACGGGCCTCAATCATGCCATAACGCAATCACTGGGACTTCAACTCAACAAACTCTCGAAACTAAGGCGAACGTTTGAAACGAATGTGCGAGGTGTTGCGCGATGGCGAAGATGACATTTGGAGAATGGGGCGCCAACCACCCGTTTAACTGATGCAATATTTAAGACGAATGCGCCAAACACTAAAACAAAAACCACATGTTTAACCACTCGCCCTCCATCCGTGAAGCTGCTGCGAACTTTGAAAACGAATGCGCGCGGCGCTGAAAGCAAAAACCACTGTTTGAAAAAGAACCGCCCTCCATCCGTGAAACTAGGGCAAACTATAGAAACGAATATGCGCAGCGCTAAAGCGAGAACCAACTATTGAACACCACCTGGCCTGCATCCGTGAAGCTGCTGCACTAGTGTATGATCGAATGTGCGCGGCGCCAAAACGAGAGCCACAGTTCGAAGTCCATCCGCCCTCCATCCCTGAAGTTGTTGCAGACTTCATCACTCAAGATCGCAAAATGCTGAGCAAGTCTCGGGTGAAGCGCCCGTCCCGCCCTGCCGACCTGCCTGAAGGGCGTGACGGGGACAGATGCACAGGGACGAGGATGGATGAGGGGGGGGAACTGTTTGAAGGGGCCCTGGGACATACACTCGAATACACACAAATTCCATGATCCCCAGTACTTTCTTACGTTTTTTGAATTTTCGTCTTCCCCCCCCCCCCCACTTGCCATATGTTTGCATATCTTCCTGCGAATCGACGATTAATGGTGTCTGTTTTTTTGTTTTTTTTCTGACTAGTGTTGCACAGAGCCCTCCAGTGAGCTTTGCTTGACGGGAGGAAAGGGGGGGAAAGGGGCGCCGTGCCTCTCTGCCCGCCGCGCGCCCTCAGGCTGAAGGCCTTGGCGCGGGCTGAGGCACCATGGAGGAGGCCTCGCCTGAGCTGGCGCTGGTAATCCTCGCCTTTATCCGAAACCAAATGCTCGCATGCCTGGGCGAGGTCTTGGATGGCGCGGCCCATCCTAATGATCAGCACAACAACTGCAGGGGGCTGGATGGGCAAAGGGCGGAGCAAGGAGCGAGACAAGCAGAAGGGAGGAGGAAAGAAGGGTGGTGAGAGGTGATGGGAGAGGTGGGACTAGCGAGGAGGAGGAGAAGAGAGACGAGCAGGAAGAGGCGGAAGAGATTGTGTTGGAGGAGGAGTCGGGAGAAGCACGGGCGAGGAGAGGCACAGATGAGGAGGAGGAGGAGGGGCACGCTCGCACGGCCCCCTCCTTGCAACTCCTGCTGCCGTTCCAAGTCATCCTCTAACTGCTGATGATGGTACGACCTTTCCTCCTCCGATTGCTCCTCCTTGTGCTGCTGATGTTTACGCTACTCATGGTCATGGTCCTAATCATCCACCTTCACATTCGCGCTCTGCTGTTTCTGCCTATGCCCATCCAACTCAAGCTTGTTCATTGTATCCCTCCTCGGCGTCGACCGTCGTCCGACGCCGCCATCGTCGTCGTCGTCGGAATCGTCATCGTCGTCGTCATCGCCGTCGCTGTCCGGATACGCTGCATCAGCGAATTGAGCTGGTCGCGGAATTCCCTGGCCACGGAGTACTTCTTCGCGGCGGCGACCCGCCGGGAGCCCGTTTGCGTCGACACCGACTCCTCGCGGGGAGGGAAGAACGCGACAAAGCCTCTCCTTGTGTCGTCGCCCACGGCGTGAAGGAGGGGGTCATGCCCACGGACCTCCGACGCCGTGATCTGTTGAATGCCGACTTTTTCTCCCCATTTCGGGGCCGAGGGGCCGGTTTCGAGCCCCTGGGGCCATCAACAAAATGGGCACGCCCGAGATGCGTACGATGCCCAGCATTAGATCATGTCGCCGGCGGGCAACAGCGGCCGCGCCCAGCAGGCGACCTTTCTTATTGAAGGGACAACGTCCGCGGCGACATTGACGCCGAGTCCTGTTCAACATGGGCAGGGACAACTGTCGGTGGCTCCTGGGCGCGAGCGCGGCACACCAAGCCCCTCCTGGGAAGGTCGGCGCCTCCACGGCTCCCACCCTTGGCTCCCGCCCTGCCAACGGACGCCAGCGGCGCGTCCGTTGCCCGCGTGCATACCTGCTGCGGGTGCCCTCCATACCCACTCCCATGCTGCAGGCTCCAATTTGGCGAAGGAGCCAGCGGCTAGCTGTGAACTTCGCTGCTTGAGGGCCGCACGTGGTCATGTCTACTTCCTTACGCGTTTCAAGAAATCGACAAAACGAAGAGGCAATAGTTTTCGGCGCGTGACCAGCACAACTGACCGGATCCCTCGTTAAGCTCTGGATCCCAAGCGCGGGGTGTCGGCAACCATGCCCCCAGCACTTCGTGGAATGGTGCGGCGACGTGGCGATCTGGCAGGACGACGGCGGCGATCACGACAACGACGGCCACAACGGCGGCGACGGCGGCGGAGACGGCGGTGGAGGGCGGGGACGGCGACGGCGCCGCCGGGCGGCCTGCGTGCCGAAGTGCCTGTCGTGCTCGAGAAAGCGCTGGCGCATGAATTCGTCGGATCCCTCCTCGGAAGGTGGGAGGGGGAGGCGAGGCGATGCGAGGCGAACGCGCGAAACGGCCGGAAGCGGGGCCCCTGGGGGTCCTGCGTGGGGGTCATAGGCGGGAGCGCGACTCCTGAGCGCCTGAGTGTCGGGAGCGCGGCGCTTGAACAAATTGTGGAAAATTCCAACGCAAGGGCGCTATTCTTGAGTAGATTGCAAGCACGTCTCCAGCTAGAGCGCGACTGCAGAGCGCCGAGAGAGCGATTCCTGAATAAATTGTAAGGAAGCCCAAGCGAGAGCGCGATTCCTGAATAAATGCGAGGAGCTCTCAGGCAGGAGCGGGGATCCTGGCTAACTTGTGAGGAGGTCTCAAGCGGGAGCCGTTATTGTTGTAACCCGGGGGCCAGGGGCACAGTTTGAGCCTCAAGACTTTCCCTGATGAAAAACCAGGGTGCGAGCGCCGGGAGGGGCAGCTCAATTGAAAAATACAATATGCACCAGTGGGGGGAATCACCAAACATTATTCTTCAGAAGTGATAGTTCAGCAACAACAGCAACAACAGCAACAATAACAACATTATTAACATTAACAACAACAACAACAACAACAAAAACACATCAACAACCAATCACAACAAACACACATAAACATATCCTCACCACGGATCCCCACTTCAGCCACGCACCAAGGGACAATAATGACCGTTCGGCCCCCTCACTCTGATGAAAATTAGTGATACGGATGCTGGGATAAATTGTGAGATCGGTCGTGAGATCGATAATGGGATCGGTAGGGTCAACGATAGCGAAGTCGACCGTGAGACCGATCGTGAAGTCGACTCAGTGGTATTGATCGTGAGATCGATCGCGAGATCGTTCGTACGATGTATATTGTGAGAGCGATAATGAGATTGACTGCGAGATCGATAGTGACATCGGTAGAGAAATCAACAATGGGATCGATGGTTAGACCGATTGACCAGGACCCTCGCAGACCTGGGGGCCCGCAGCCCACCGAGATCGGGCAAAAACCAACAACCGGGAGACCGGGGGCCCGGACCCGGGAACCTGGGAACCCGGGCAACCACCGAAATCGACCAGGAACGTCCGCCAAATCTTTCAACGTCCGATAGGGCCACTACAGTGCACGCGCCGATTGGGAATCCCACCAGCCCTTTAGGGCGTAGGTGGTCTAACGCGTTTCTCTTCCAACCCCCTTCTTCCCCTTCGGGGAGGGGTTTACCCCTCCCCCTACCCCCTCCCCACTGACCTGGACAGGGGGGGCCGCGAGCGGTCACAGGGTCCAAAATCGACTCCTGGGAAGGCTGAAGTTCGATACCCCTCACGAGGATCGTGGCTCCTGAGGGGGGGCTGTAATTTAGGACCCCCCCCTTCGTTGATCGATCTCTTCCAAGATGGCTCCAAGAGACGTCTTCGACCCTCCTCTTGGGCCCTGCGCGCGGCTGGGCGGAGCGCCGCCCGCCCGCCCGCAAGGCCCAAGAGCCCACCAAAACGCCTCAAGATACCTCCGAAACGCCGACAGGAGGAAGAGGAGGAGGAGGAGGAGGAGAAGGGGGAGGAGGAGGAGGAGGAGGAGGAGGAGGAGGAGGAGGAGGAGGAGGAGGAGGGGGAGGAGAACAACTGCCGATGATCGGCGCTCTTCGTTCGGGTACCTGGTGTAGGATGGGCTGGTGGGGATACGCGAAGCGTCAACAATTTCAGAAACGGTGCAAAGATTGAAATCACAACTGCAGGATGACCTTCTTGGATTTCTGATTCCGGGAAGCACATGGGGCAAGCAAGGCGGGGGATTGCAACGCGCTTCGATCGGGCGCAGATGCAAGTGGTCATGGCTGCGCGCTGCTAGTCTCAACGCGTCCACCTTGTGCGATTGGCGCAACGTGATCGAATTCTCTGGAAGAGGAGTGCCATCGTGTTTTGGGCAGGCAGTCTATTCGCATGGTGGCAAGCAAGAGTCACGGCGCCACGCCTGCAGATCATGCGGCGGGCCAAGCAGAAGGGCCAGCTCGACGAGGCGCAGGCGCGCGTCGGGCGGGCAGAGCAAGCGGCCCGCGCCGCGCAGGAACACCTGGAGGCTGAGAAAGAAATCCTGGCCAAGAATAAGTAAGCGCCGGCGTGCCACTGCCTCCCCCCGCCAAATGCCAATACTTGCCACGTGGCCATGCGCGCAGATGGCGGCCGCATTCGGTCGCGAATAATGGCTCCCGAGCACCCTATAGGGCAGCGAGGTGGCGGCGCGTAAAAACGATAGACCCCCCGGGAATGTTTTGCACCACGCCGCAATATACACTGCGTGAATGTGCGCGCGCGCTTGCGCATGCAACCGCGCGCTCAAATGACGTTGCACACGCGACAAGTCATCGCCGCGCCCTGCAACCCACCGGCGAAACAATAATCCGATCAACCCCCATGCCAGAAAACCAACCCGCGGTGGTGATGTACATGCGTGGGTCCGAGAAAGAAGGCGGAGCTCGCCAAGGTGGGGCTGCGGACCGAGGTGCCTGCGGAGCTCGCGCTGGCCGAGAAGCTCGAGCGGCTCGCCGGCGTCTCGGGGCTCCTCGATCACCTCTGCCGTAATCTCGCCGCCCTGGGCGCCCCCGGCGACGGGCTCGTCGCGTTCCAGGCCAGCGTCGGGGGGCATCGCGAGCAGCTGCGCCAGGCGGGCGCCGCCGCGTGGGAGGCAGCGGCGCCCGCAGCCGCGCTGGCAGCCGAGTCGGCTACGCCCGCCGCAGGCGGTGCTCATCAGCCTGGCGGCGCTGGCGCAGCAGCGTCTGACGGGGCTGGCGGGGGCGCCGCCATGGAGGGCGTCGACTGGGGCTCCCCAGGCGCCGAGGATGCCGAAGAGGGCGCGACCAGGCCAACCATCGCGCCAGCATCTTGGCCAGCATGGCAGCCGAGAAGCAGCGGCGCGGGTGGCCAAGAAATTGCCGCGGCTGACGCGACAGCATGGTCGTCAGGACAGACGCTCTTTGAGCGGCCCCGGGGAGAGCCGCGGGCCCTGGCGGACGGCGCCCGCCCGTGCAAGCGAGAGGGGCTTCGCCTTCGTCGGCGAGGCAGCGCTGGGCGCCAGCGAGGGCGCAACGGAGGTTAGTGGAGGCCGCGAGGTCCGCGCCCGCAAGCCGGCCGCGGCCGCCCTGAGGCCCGATTCGCTCGGCGAGCGGCCCACGCGGCATCGGTGGCGAGCGGCTGCTGCAACTGCGGGGCTGCCAGCGCCGCTCCGCGTCATCTCCGTCTACCTGGTCTCGTGGGTCGGGGGTCTCGTCGGCGACGAGGTTGACATCCTGCGCCGGGCGTTAGTGGAAGTCCCAGCGCTGCCGCGGCCGTGGATCGCAGCCGGCGACAGGAACGCGGAGCCCTCTAAGCTTCAGTCTTGGGCGAAGGCAGCTCCCAGAAATCCAATGGATCACCAGATGGATCAATATGGCCCACAAACGCATATGGAACAACTTGAGCCAAACAAACACAATGTATCAGGATATGATGAATGGATCAGGATGATGGGTATGGATCAGGATGACGTCAAACGGCTCGGTGTATCATACATACTTAATACATACATAATACATATTACGTACGAATGTTCAATATATGCACGATGTACACACCACTATCGTCAGTTGTAGTGTACATGGTTAAGTATATCCGTATGCGATTATGTACATCATACAATAGATACACGACGTACACATCACCATCGTCATCGCGTGAAGAGCCCTCCTCCGCCTCCACCTCCCCTGCCTATGGGGCCACCGAACGCGTCTGTCGGCGGGTCGGGCGGGCGGGTCTGGCGCGTCCTGGTATCATGGCGCCGTGCACGAACGTAGCGAACGGCGCCACCTGACGCAGGCAGGGGGGGCAGCAGGAGAACGGGAATGAATTAGGAGGAGGAGACGTTTTTTTTGGGGGGGGGAGAGACGAGGACGGAGTGAGGTAGGAGGGGGAGGAGGAAGGGAGGGGAAGGCATAGTGGGTGGAGGAGGAGGAGGAGGAGGAGGAGGAGGAGGAGGAGGAGGCGGAGGAGGAGGATGAGAAAGAGGAGGAGGAGGAGGGGGAGGAGGAGAAGGAGGAGGAGGAGGAGGAGGAATGGAGGAGGAGGAGAGAAGGAGGATGAGGAAAAGGAGGAGGAGGAAGAGGAGGGAGGGAGGCAGAGGGGGAAGGAGGAGAGGGGGGGCAGGAGGAGGAGCAGGAGGAGGACGACGACGGGGGAGGAGGGAACGGGAGGGTGGGCCGAATGCGAGGGGGGAAGGGAGGGAGCTGGAGGTAGGCTCGCGCCGACGCGGTGGTGCCACAAACGGGCCGCGGCCCGAGCGAATCTTAACGCCGCATTGGCCGCCTCGCACGGGCCCGACGGGTGACGGGGGAAGAGGAGGAGAGGAGGAGGGGAGGAGGAGGAGGAGGAGGAGGAGGAGTAGGAAGAGGAGGAGGAAGAGGAGGAAGAGGAGGAGGAAAAGGAGGGGCAGTTCCACCCACCCCCTCCTTAGTCGTCGTCGCTGATCTCGACGGGCGCGTCGGAGCTTGATTCGATCGTCTCGGCCACGCTGTCCTCGCTGCTCGTGACCCAATCATCGTCGACGAGGGGCCTCGGGGGGGCCGAGCGGCGCTCGATCGATCCATCGATCGACCGATCGCCGTTCGGAGCGGGGATCCTTGTGGAGCCCATCGGGGCCCGATCGATCGGTCGGTCGACCATATATCGATGGCGTTGCCTAAGCTCTAGGCTGCGGTGGCGGCGGCCCCGCGGGGGCCGCGTGCACCAAGAACACGCTCGGCACTGGCGCTATGAGGACCCACATCCCGCGAGGGGCCCAAGGTGCGTATATTCGGAGCCACGCCCCGACAGGCGGCAGATCGATTCGACGAATCACAGTGCGCTTCATCTTGAACCACGCTTCAAGGGGGAGGGGAGGTAGAGGTGCTGAGGTGGGGGGCGAAGGAGCGGGCGAGGGAGGAGGGGGGGAACCAGGCCAGGGGGATCGCCAACGTCGAGGTCTCGATGGTTTTCGT